TGGCAAAACGAAGTCCTTTGGGCTTCCTGGCATGCATGTGCATGGTGTTCTTTTCCGCGGGGGCTGGGCACGAGGTCCTCTCACAGAGAGCAGATGTTGTAGTGTTGCCAGTCTGTTTACACTTCACTACAACAACGATTTGTTGATCACATTGATTTACATTCTGTTGATCTACGTACGTAACGTTTTCTGTAAACACCCGGATTGATTGATCAAACGATCTTCCATGCGCCAGAAGTTTCCGTGCCTTTTTCGTGCTTGATCCAATACTTCCTTTCCACCAATTCCCCAACCAACGGAAACACTCACCATTCCACTGCAAAAGCATATATAACCACTTCTTGGTTGTTTGTTGGGAGGTTCCCAAATCCTTTCAATCATGCAGGTGCCATCATTTGAACCACATGATATGTCTGACTGCCACACCAAACACTTCCCCTTGCGCGCCCCAGAACTCGAACGCTTGTCCTTTGGGGCGTCCTCGTCCTCGTCGTCCAGACCAGACCAGACCAGCCGTGCGCCGTCGCACCGGACTCGCACCTAGGATCCCGGACTCGCCCAGCGTCTCGCTGAGCGCGGCGCGGCTGGGGATGGTGACGCAGCGGCAGGAGTTGATGGAGGAGTTGGAGACGGCCACTTGGCATCGGAGGTCTGAGACTGGAGGAGTGAAAACATGATTTACCTCATGAAAAGGACCAAGTCCAGTTACATGAATGACATGGAAGGACAGATCCACTTGTTGTGGTTCCGAACAACACAAACAGATCGATCCAGCTACTGGAAAGAATTGTGTGGATGGACAGTTCTGGGTGGAAGGAAGACCAAACTCAGAACACCCAATTGACCCATTTCGGTTGTCAGTATCCACCACTATATAGCAGTAAGATGAGTCATTTGGGACTTCCAGGGTAGAATGAATGCATTTTTGTGCCAGAGGCATTTGGGACTTCCCAGTACGATCAATGTCGTGCGTTTGGGGACACAAAGCGGCATCCTTTTGGGGTCCATTTCGGACCCATAGACGCTCCAGGTATGGTGCCAATTTATATAGTGGGGTGGTTCAGTACAGGGGTCAATGTATACGGACATACATATACATGTATAATTCCAGTTCCATGAAGAGAGTTGAAGAGATGAATATAAGATTTCGAGTCATGTCCGATGATTTGAGACCCATTGCAGAAGTGGCGACGAAAGCACGACAACTGTGGAACGAGTAGTCTCTTTAGACCCGACATCTTCGCAGACGAAGATCGGATGCCTGGATGACTGGGCCTGACTGGATGACGCTGAGTGAGGGTGCTGAAGAGTGGAACATAGTGGAACTGATGAGCGAATCGATCAGCCATAGATGGTGTAATGGCCATGGATACAAACCTTGAACTCATCGACTTCGGATTAAAGCACAGTTCTCCCCCCCAAAGAAACATGTTGTTTGGGGGGATGCTTTTCAGCTTTCAACATCACCATCCAAGCAGCCATCCAATAAGTAGCCATCCAGGATGCCGCTTCGCCCACGTTACCGCACCCACCCTCCACGCCGTTACCGTGCAGTGCTCGGCCTAGGAGCAGGTCCACCTGCGGACGATGCTCTCGGAGTTCGTGCCGAGCGGTGAGCGCCGGAACGTCCATCGCACGCGGAACTGCCTGCAGAAGATCTCCAGGCGCGGAGGGCTCAGTCGACGGAGGGCGCGCAGTCGACGGCGACGGCAGTTGACGGATGTTGAAGGAGAAGGGGGATGGGCCGAGGTGAACGTTGGTCCGAGGTGACGTTGGAACGGTTCGAGGTGAAGATGGGACATGAAGGATGGAAGACAGGAGTTTTGTTGGGGGGATGACGGGAAAAAGATGAACCTAAGGGTCAACTCAGGGGTGTAGAGGTGTTGTACCAGCACCACCCAGTTACTACCCAGTTTGGGTGCTTATTGGATTGCCATATATACATCTTCAGTGGGGACTGGTCTGGATGATCGTTTGGGCGAGTCATATCGATTGCAAAGGACCTGAAATCGGAGTGTTTTCCTTCGTAGAAGTGAGAAGTACCTCAAACCGGTTCCCGGTCATCATCCAAACTGCCAACCGGTCATCCAAACCGGTTCGCCGCTTCAACTTCTGGGCCCGACCAAATCCCCGGGTCGGTTTTGCTTCTTGTCGAGTTGTTGAGCTCACTCGACGCGTCGTGGAGCCGCCTGGAGCGAGCGGTCTGCGTGGCACTCCGTCTCAGGCACTTGGCCTTTAAAATCTCGGTGGTCCTGGCTTGGTCCTTAGAGCTCCGACGCACCCAACTCGGGCACAGGGGTAAGCACTTGCGTCAACAGGACCCTAGCTGCTTGGAGTCCCAGCTGCCTTTTGTTGGTGGTCTTGAAGCTGGATGTGATGGCTTTTGCGACGTTTTGTTTCTCGGCGAGGTGATTTTGCTGAACTCCGCCTACCTGGGTTTTGATGCAGATTTGCAGGCTTTCAGTCTGCATGAGTTGGCTAAAACAGAGAAAACCTGGAAAAAACAACACAGAGAAAGACTTCAGAGAATCAGATCAGGCAACGAATTGCAAGAAGCGGGGCAAGGAAGGCATGTTTTTCGCACGAAATGCCTCAAAACAGGGGAGACTTTGTTCTACACGTGCATGACCAGTATAACCATTACATTCATCAAGTTGTTTGAAGCCTTGACGATAGTCAAGCCACTTGACTGCTCTTCTTGCTCCCAGTCACATGTGACTTAGCGATCGCATGCAATCTCCAGGTGAAGAATAGCTACCGCCATGTCTTGGAGCAAGAACCTTGGGACTCCATCCCCGTGATTCCTTACATTTTTCCGGCGCCTTGGAACGCCGCGGAAGAAGTGGTGGGGTCGGAATGCAGCATGGGAAAAGAATGTGGAGGAAAGTTGGAGAGGCTCCAGCGGCTCCATTTTGGAATGCACCCTACACTAGTCTCATTTTGAATGGACAAATGAGAAGAGAGAACACCAAGGGAGTGTTGATGCACAAAACACGAGTTGCTGTTTCTGTTCTTTTCTGATCGAGGGCAAAGAAGCATTTTCCTCTCGCTAGCTTCGGAGAATTCATTTGGTGTCCAGTGTTTTAAGTTTGTCGTTGCGTATGTGTGTGTTCAATATAATATCTTTCATCTCAGCATCTCTGCACCAGCTCCACCACCAGCTCCATCACTCCTGACATGTCATCCCCACCTGCCAACGCCTGAGTTTGTCTCTGCCCCCATCCAACGCGATGTCGTCCCCCCATTCCATCTGCAGCATCTCCACAACCCCCCCATTCCAGAGTTGGGCGATGTCGTCATCGGTCCCAACGTCACATGTCTCAGCTCCGGGTCGTCCAAGATCCTCTTCGTTCTGGAGCTCATGATCCGCCTGGGTGCTGACCGTTGTGCCTTCTTCCAGGGAGAGGAACGTTGGTGGCACCTCGGAAGAACAACGGCATACGGTCCCGTTGACCCCCAAAGTGAGGCCGGAGGATGTGACCTTCAAGTGGACACGGATTCGGATATTTCGAAGGCAAAGAACTTCAAGACATGTATATCGAAACTCTGAAAAACCACCATTTGGTGGCATGACATCATGTTTGATGTTTGATGCCATCTGAAGTGAACACCGTTGCCTTTTCCTGTCGGGGAGGAACCCTTCGAAGGCGAAGTCTTCACGTCCGCAGATCAACCGGGTCTCGTGCATTCATCGAGTATCCATCCCCCCAAACACACCTTCGCTCGGATGTCGTTCGCCCCTATGTCGCGAACATTCCATATATGGCAGTCCCATGGAGTAGTCGTGTCTGGGTTGTTCGGAATTGTTTGTGTGTTTTTTTTCTCAGGAACCCCCCATGTCGCGACCGGTCCTGAGCCCAGGAACATCTTCGATATCGCCCAGCGCCCAGATCGTCCCCGGCAGGGTCTTGTTTAGAGGGTCTTTGGGTCGGCTGTTGTCGGAGTTCAAGTCGACCAATTGATGACTTGACACGCGGGGCAGTCAACCAAATGGGGTGGAAATCAGCTGCCATTCATCCGTGCGTGGTGTGAAGATTTGTTCCTCAATTGCTCAATAGCTGGTGTGTTTGGGTTGGCTCCATGAGGAGCCTGGGATGACTGGTTATTATGAGAAAGGCTGCATTGCAACCACTTTGACACTTAGATCTTGTCAGTACAACCAGGTACAGTTGAAGCACGGGAAAATATATCATGTACCAACCTCTGACCTGGTCAGTTTCTTCTGGTCTTGCGCAAGTCCCCAGGTCGACCGATTCTAACGGCTTTTGTGTCAGTTTGTTGCTGCACCACACTGAGGTTGCACGCTTTGACTGGGTGCTTATAGTATATATGTCACATGTGCCGAGGAATTACACATTCTATCACATTCTGGTGTTTAGATGTCTTTAGCAACTCTCCCTTGTAGTCCAAGGTACTTGCATGTACTTGAACTTGGCTTTGTTTATATAAGTTGAAAAATTACCCAGAACTTTGAATGATCTCAATCTGTCGCGTGTGACAGGTCTTGGCATACCTCAGGTCTTGGTTCTGAACTCGCTCATAGAGATACTCGCGAACTTCATCACTGGTTGGACTGGGATACCGAAGCAACTGGGGACCTGACTCATGCGAGACCAACATGTTTGTGAAACTAAGACCGGAGTATGTTGTTCGTTTTTGAACCACGGCCTTTGATTGAGTAAATTGAATAGATTTGATGAGACCACTCACCAGATTCAAGTCCGTATACTGTCTTGAAAAGGCCCCGTCCTGGTGAGTTGCCAGACTTGCCAGTTGAGGCGACTTTTAGATCTGGACAGCCTCTCAGAAACCTTGCTTTGGACAAACTTCTACTTGCCCTCCCTCCAACCCACCTGACGCCAAGCGAACCCAAACCAACCGTCCAACCACCTTCAGCACCGTCCCAGTCGATCGATTGCAGCACACCTTCACCTTCACCCACACCGCGCACCTCTCCTTCCACCTCCAGGAGCATCACCGACTTGAGCGTGCTGCGGATCATGCGCGTCTTCCGCCGCCCGGATCTGGTCCTGGACCGCCACCGTGGTGTCGGGCCCACGCGGGACGGTGTCGGGCCAGTCGCCACGGTGGCAGCGGCGGCGTGAGACGTGCGGGTTCAGATCCCCCAAGGAAACACGATCGATGTGTGCTGCATCTGGAGCCATGGATCCACGTACCTTTTGAGAGGGTGATTGATGACACTTTCTTGATGCATAGTATCCTTCTCATGAACTGCCTCCATGTGTTTTAGATCTACCTAGCGCATCCTCTGGGTGTTGGAGATCCCTATGTCCTATGGGGTAGTCCGGCCACACCCAGATGGTCGGATGGTCCTGGTATGGACCTTTATACCAGTCACGAGACGGGGTGCCGAACTTGGAGGTAGTCGGGGTGCCCAGAACATCCACTCACTGGATGGGACTAAAAACCACCCCGACATGTGACCCCTGAGGTATAGTATTCTTTTCTGGACGCGCCCAAACAACGAGGGTCCTTCCTGCTTCGCTCGTTTTCGGCCGGTCCGAGGCATGGTGCGGGTGGTGCGAGTGGTGAAGCACGTGAAGTGGTTGAAGTCCTTAAGACCCTCGGCTCGACCAGCGTAGCTCACCAACAAGCTCCACCACATCGAAACCCTGGCGTCGTGTCGGTGTTTCGCGCGTCCCGCCGACGGGGACGGTGGCAGGTGACCAGGGAATACCAGGCACCCCAAACGGCGAGGCCACGAAGCCCAAACAACGATGGAGCAGCGGGAGCACCGGAGGCCGTGTGAACAGGAAATTCGACCCAGTCGACTCGAGACTGGAGACCATTTAGCCCAGAGAGGTGTGAGAAAGTGATTATCTTGGACGATCCTGGGGATATCTGGGCCTGGGGTACCATATTGGGATACTCAACCTCGAGTTGGAGTCACAGAGGTTTTTCTGTCCTTGTGAAGCCTGAGAGTGCTCAGATGTTGGAAGGGACATGCTTTCTGCGCAGAGCATGAACATACGCTGGGGATCCAAGTATTTTTCAGAAGGTATTTGGCCTCCAAAGCTACATAACATTGTCTCCAATCACCTGAGAAGGTGCGACTGGATCCCTAGGGATATTGATCAACTAATTGGCCTTGTCAAGTGCGGGCTCGTGTTGAGCGAGCACAAATTCATGTGTGAGCCTCAAAAAAGAAATCGGAGCACTCACACGGAGCACTCTCCAGTTTCCCGATCTCTCTCTTCCTCCTCTGTGGGCGATTGATCTCCTTCTTTCGAGGAACGATGGTCTTTGCCCTGATCAACTCCTTCATCTCCTTGATGTGGGCCTTTGCCAGTGCCTAAGAGTGACGGAGTTGCAGATCCTTTGCCGCTGAGTTCGTTTCTGGCAAAGAAGTGGCCCGACTTTTCGTGCGGCACGGCTGTCATTTTTCTGCGGCTCGATTTTTGGAATAAGTACCTCGAGTTGGAGTGATGTTTTTGGAATAGTGAAAGCCTCCTGAGATTTTTTTTTGTGTCTGCGTTTGTGAAACATGTGTCTCTCAAATTCCTGGGATTGCTCTTGCTGTGAGTCAAGGAGATCTCATTGCAACAATGTCAACCTTGCCAGCCACGGATCACCGCTTGCTTCAGGAAAGGCAGCTTTAATTTAGTATACTTTAGGGTTTCCATACCTGCAGGAGTTTCTGAAACGTACTGCCATGGAAGTGTTGTGTATGAAGGATGAATTATAACTTTTTTGTTTTAACATCAGGAGATATCAGGAGGCTTTCGCAAAACAAAAGCACCTGGAAGTGTTCCGATCCACCGAACAAAGTCTTTAGCAAGGGGTGGAAGCTCGCCATGGGCCATGGGTGTGAAGATCAACGAATGCTGATCATGTTGTGTTGATCCTTCCCCGGTTCGTGTGGAGCAGTTTCTTCATGTGTGTATCACAAGTGAACAAAAACATCGCCCCCTTCGTGAAAAAAACAGAAAAAAACTTCGTGGTTGTCCGACATGTTTGGAGCTCGTCTCACAACATGATGGGTGACGCACACCACGGACTTAGTTCATGATCATGCTCATCATTTTTGTCTTCAGTATCCTCTTTTGCCATGGTGCCGGGCGCCTCAGAATCCGAAGACAGTCTGAGTCCAGGAGGAGAGTTTTTGTGGGTCGTTCATGGACGACAGAGGAGGAGAGGTGCCTGGCCCAAAGCTGTTTGGATCGGCTGTTTTGGATATGACGTGTCTATGCCTCTGAAGCCATCAAAGAGCTTGATTCAATCCAGGAGTACTAGGAAACATGATTTCGACACATGAGTGTGCATGTTGGCGGTATTTCTGGTCCACTTGCTTGGATGACTGCAGACCCATGGTTTTTCAGCCATGTTGATGTAAACGGCTGGACAGACGGGGCCCTGCCTTCGCCCTGCGGACCGTGCCGTCACACCATCCCAGGTGGCGCAGTACAACTACAGCAGCGTTGAACGGTTCGGCCGGGGATGGGTTCCTGAGGATTGGTTGACCCAGGCGCTCCAAGTGCAAGGGACAGCCACACTTGTGTCCGTGTTTGTTTGTTTTCTTTTTCATGTGAGCCACGGTCAAAACATGCGAAGACCACTTTAGTAAAGAGGGGTAGGTTTGTGCACAAAACCCTGCAAAACGATAAGGTCCACCTCAAAACCGATAACCCCAGCGCTGTATATGGTCATAAGTATGCGACGAACTCAAAACGCTGTAAAACGATAAGGTCCACCTCAAAACCGATGACGTCCATTTTTTAGCTGAAGAAGAATAAGGAGTTTTGACCGTCCCTCATGTGCTTTTGGACAGTTCACAGCAGACTCTGGATGTATTCTTGAAGGAGTCATCTCCAGGTTCGATGTTTGATACAATGTTCGTTGAATTGATTGTCATGCTGCGGAAGTTCTGGGACTGGAGGATGTGAGTTTTCTTGGGCACAAATGATGCCCCTCTCATGGATTTAGTGTCTCCGAAGGTGTCCGACTCGCGAGCTCCTAAGAATGGAAGCTATGCATTTGGAAAACTTTTAACACGACATAGCTATACCTTCCTACCGATCATAGCTTCGGCCCCAACCATCGACCTTCACATTCATCCCGTATTTCCGGCTCCATACTCATCCTCCACTCCAAAGACTGCTCCAGTCGCTTGCTGCGCCTGCGCTCCCCCGCGCCCCCCGCATCCGCTGGCCGAACGCCTCGCCCCTCGCCGCGGAGCCGAGCGCGCCGAGCCTCGCGGAAGGCGTCGGAGACGCGAGCGGTGTATGGCTCCTTGTGGGAGACCTGCGTGAGCCTCTTTGGTGTGGAGTGCCCAGTAAGGTAAACGCGGAGACACCGTCGTCCTCGACTGTGGAGACACCTAGTGGAAGAACCCATTGATCTTATGTCTGGTCTTGTCAGAGGCAAACGGAAGGGTAGTGCACAGAAAGGGTTTTGCAAAAACCTATTCTACTAACATCGTGGAAGGCGCGGGACATTCGTAGAACCCAAGGCTATTCGTGGACAGTTCGTGGAATGGTGGGCCAGTAGCAGAACTGACTGCAACGAAATCCCAGAAACCTTCGCAGAGCTTCGTGGAAGGTATTTTTGATGCACTAACTTCGTACAAGCGATTTTTGCTGACCCCCTTTCTCCACACACCCTCCATTTAGCCTTCATCTTGGAAAGAGGACCGGCGTTGGTTGATGTCATATATTAAGGTCATGGTCCTGGTCAATGAAGATTTGGCGTTAACTTAATGTCTGTGTATTGTTTGTTGTCCTAGTGGAAAGATGCAGTTTTGGATGGGGAGGTGTTTGGATAGTCGAGATCCTGAATTGGACGACGCTTCAAATATCCGTGACTCACTGCAACCATTTGCAACCTGCACCACGCGCCGGGCCATGTGTCCATCAATACGAAAGTTCATCTTTGTCCATCAAGATGCTGCATCCTACGTCCAGTCCAGGAGCTTGGAGGTTCTGTTCTTTTTTTGCCATGTCATGGCCTGGCAACAGAGACTCCAAAGAGGTCACTTTCAAGGTCCTGGTTCATCTCAGTTTGATGCATCCAGTACCCAACTATGCCGCCGTCGCCGTGTCCAAGCCATTTTGACGTGTCCAAAGCCACCGTACGAAGCCACCGTACGTCGGGTACTGGTACATCAATTGGAATCATCATCATCATATATACCCTGGGAGTCAATTCGACTATAAAAAGAATGAGTTCGGGAACTTCCTGAAACCTTCAGCCGGTGAAAATATCGTCGAACTGGACTTCAGCCGGGAATATATGGTGGTTTTCAGTGATGTGTGTAGCACCTCAGTGCTCATTCACCATCGGTATAACCTGTAGCACCTGAAAACCGCTCGATTGATCCAAATCCGCACCGACCGGTCGGCGATTGTCGCCGATCCCTGAGACCAACTATATCGGTCGATCCATCAGACTGGAAGCAGATCCCTGAGACGCAAAGGTCTTTTTGTTTCATGGTTTTTCCCATGGTTTTTTGGGGTGTTTGGTCTGCAGTTGTTGGCTGAACGTACTCGGTTTTCTGCAGTAAGAGATGTGACGAACGGAAGACGACTAGCATATCCGAAAAACCCATGAATTGGGGAGCTTGAGCAGCCCTTCTTTTGGCCAGTTCAGATCCCCAAAACCCTTGGGCCTCACCGCACCGGGTTCGACGGTTTTCAGGCGCCGTGACGGGCGGGAACGATTGGATGTTCTATGGTGGCTATTTGAGGCAGAGTCGATGGGCTGGAGTAAACATGGGGTGGAGTGTGGAGTGGCATGGAGTGGGAGATGTGGGGCAGTGTGGAGGTGTGGCATACTACTAATTACTGTATAGCAGGTAATGGTGCCTCGAATGGGCCATTTGGAAGTAAAGGCTTGTCTCAAACCAACCTTGCCTTGTAAATTGTGGTCCGCCAGAACCTTCAAAGTGACCCTTTGATATCCCAGGATGAGGTCACTTAGATCTGTACAAGAGACTCCAAAGAGGTCACTTTGAAGGTCCTGACAAATGAGCTAGTATTGGCAATGTTTTATTGCAGAAAATGCTGCTAGGACACCTCCCTCGAGTGGAAAGAGTTCAGCTTTGCAGACAGATGGACCCTCGAAGGGCAAAGGGGTGTCTATTTATAAAGCCCCTTAGCTGTTAAGGGGTGTCCATTATAACCACCCCTTCAAATCCTTGGTATAGAGCCGCCGCGCCGCCCAAGAGCGCCAGGAACCTGAAGATGGATGAGAACGACTTGACCGGGGAGATCTACTTCATCGTCTTTGGCTTTTACGCCCCTTGGCACTCGAATTTTTAGGTTCTTTTTTTTTCTCAGAGAGGCCTTGGCATAGTTGGGGGCTTGGCATAGCGCTTTCCAGCTTGTAGAGATGCAGAACAAGGACCATGGCTTGTCTCGTCGTCGAAAGGACTGGTGTTTGGCCCTCGTCCGGACACTCGACGAGTCGCCGTGGTGTCGAAGCTGGCACCCGGATCGTCCAAGGTGGCATTTTGCACGGTCGGATTGCTCAATGTCCGAGGGCCTAGAGGATCTGGTTGGGGAAGGTGCGTGGCTTGGCACACGGATGTTGCAGAAAGTGGATGAACTCGGATCTAGACAACTCCAGTTCTCGACCATTTTCATTTTGGATTCCCGTGTCGCAGCACAAACTCCGGAGCCCTTTGCCTTCGACAGCTCAAGTCGAAAACGCCCTGATGCTTCGCACTCGTGGCGGTTTTTCAATGGCCGCACGTGGATTGCGGCGGTTGAATCATGCGTTGCATGGCTCGCACGGTTAGTGGCTGTTGTTTTTTGGTTCCGGCCGGTACCGGGGAATGATCCCGTTGTGCGGGGTCTGTGGCAACTTAGTACTTAGAGATCAGGCTTTGCCCATGATGGCCAGTAAACTGGCCAAGTCCCACTGCTGTTCGGCTGCGGGAGAGTGGGTGCGTAACTTCTGTTTCTCGGTTGTTGGTATGTGTTGTTCTTTGGCATTGGGCATCAGCGATCTTTATGCTGACTTGGCAAGCAACAGTTTCGTGCAGGCCTTTTCGGTGTTCCGCCTTCTTTGTGCTGCAGCTGCGGGTTGCACAAAGAATCACATCGTTCGTTTCACCTCGTTCTGTGTTTCCGCATACGTTCGGGCCCGATCACCCACCCTTTCAACTGGGGGAGAGCTCTCTCCCCAGAGCTCTCCTCTTCTCCTCCTCAACCTCAGGTGGTGACTGGCATCTTCGTGGATAGCGCTGTGACCACCCGCACCGAGGATGAGGTCGTTGATGCCTTCAAGGACCGGTCCTTGCGTGATGTGAAACAATGGCGTCGCCGGCTCGTCCGGCCATGCGGCACTGGTAAACACCAACAGCGACCGCTCATGTGATGTAATCGATGTGACTATAGTGTACTATGTGATGGTATGTGTGACTATATTCATAAGCTTAAGCCTGTTTGTTTCTTACTACAGCATGATTCTTTACTTTCCCTATGGGGTGTATGTGGTTTTTGTTCTTGTTTCCGGTAATTCAAGTGTTCGAAACGGACCCGACGGGAGCTGGGCGTCTCGACAGCACAGCCACGCCACGTCGTGTTCAGCGAAAGCAGCCAATCGCAGGTCGCCCGCACCGCCCGCACCTCACCGTTCGCTCAACCGGTGAGTGTGGTTGAAAGTCCCGGCTGGGTGCCCTGACCCTTTCATGTCAAAAGACCCCTCAGCCGAGATGTTGATCCGCGGGGGGCAGGGAGATCTCCGGACCTCGCCCCTCCAAGGGGGTCGAACTCGGTCTTCGATGTCTCCCTGTGTCGTCGTAGTCGCCGACATATATGATCCAGCACCAGGGTCAGTTTGGGTGGTTATTGGAAGGACAGATAGATAGTGAGGGATGGTCTTTAAACCACCAAACCACCCAAACTCCCGTGGTGCTGGATCATAAGCTACTAGTAACAAGTGCATCGCTTCTAGTAACAAGTGCCTTACTAGTAGTAACAAGAAGCTACTAGTAACAAGAAGCTATCTATTCATGTTTAATTCATTAATGTCCGAATTGTTGAACCCACGGCCATGTCACAGGGATACACACCTTCCTTTGTCGGCTAACACATTACTTTCTGTAGCATCGTTTTCGGATGGTGCCCCGTGACCGGTTCCCCACCGCAGGATGAGATGAACAACAGGCAACAAGAAGTGAGACGCATCTTCCAAGAGGCACGTGTGAGAGCGACCCGTTTGTTTGTTGCTGCATGTGGAGGGCTCCATTTGGTTTTGATAGGCTTTTTGTGCGGTTTGTCAGGGTTCCTGCATAACTGGTGTTCTTCTGGAAATGGTCTTGTTGAGACGATATTGCTACTCAATGACTTGATGATACTTAGACTCGATGAAGGGGCAATTGTGAGATGCAAGTTCTCAAAACAATAGATCGTCCAGCGAATCAGTTTCCTGAATCAGGAAGGAGTTCTATGCAGTTGATTCAGTTGAGTTGTTATGTTTAAGCATGTTCAAGCATAAAAGTGTTTAATATGTGTCTTGGACTTCTCCTTTTTGTTTCAATTCTCATTTGAGATTAATCCACCAGAGAATCCTCTCAGAGCTTCAGGATTTCCTCCGAAGGCAGGTTCAATGGAATATCCAATACAGAAATGACACCTCAAGGTGTTTGTAAGACAACTCCAGCCAAAACGAAGCGCGTTTTGGGATGTTATGCGCAACCGCACGCCGAATGCAACCTGGTTGGATGGTTAACAGGTGAAAACCATGCAGTGTTGCTGTTTCCATTCAGGAGGTAGCATGAACTTATGAGCCCTTTTGCACATGCAGGCATGAGTGACATGAGTTCATTGTAACATTGTAGATACCAGGGGTCGAAACCCTTGTAGTATGGTGATATGATCCTTCTCATTTGCCAACAATCCAAAAATGAACAAGAAGTGTGCAGAAGACTAACATGTAATGCTAACAACACCATTTGGTCGTACCACGGGGGGTGGCTTAGAATTGTTTCTTTGGACATCTTGGGATATGATGGTCATGACGCATGAAATTTTCGTACATACCGCCGTACATAGAGACTGCTGAGTCATGTAGACTCTTGAATTCATAAGATTTCGGATTCCCCCCTCCCCCAGCCATACCTCCGGTCCGGCCAATCCGGGCGCCATAAGGCCGGTCCATGTTGGAACCCCCAAAGCCACTTGGGTTTTAGAACATCGGTCCTGTGCTGCCTCGGGGATGATTCAGAGCCGAGCGCCACCGTGCTGCGCTCAGTGAGGCCGTGGGTGAAGAGGACACCAACGACCAGGCGCGCCGGCTGCGGCGCGGTGAGCTCGCACCGCGAGACGCGCTTTGGGCTGGCTGGGAGAGGCCAGCTTGCTTCCCAAGAGTGAGCTCGGTTCACATGATGTGTATACATATAAGTTATACATAACTTACATAACCCATATTATGATCATATAGATGTTACACAACCCATATAGTATGAGATGTCTGGTGAATTGTGTGTTGGAAGAACTAAGACTTGTTTACTACACGACCACTCCACAGTATGATACAGATATATGTTTGAGCAGATCATGTGGAAAACTCTTTGCAGTTGAGCGTTCCATAGGAATGCCCAATGTGAAAAGTGAGACAAACTTGGATTCTATATCTCAAAACATATAACACAAACACATAAGAAAAAAGACAAGTGGCCTCCTTTCTCCTACGTTTTAATTAAATCTCTTGATGATTGAACCACTCCCATCATCCCTGCGGCTCCAGGACGATGCTCCAAAGAAACCGATGTTGACCTTCGACCAGCTCAAGGTCTGCCGAGAATGCCGCTCGATGCTCGGGCCCATCAAGGGCTCAAGTACTTAAGGTTGCTGAGGGGTACCGCGGCTCAAGAGGCAGAGGTTGCACAGATTGGCACAGATGTGGCTTAATACAGTTTAAGTTTCAGAAGTGAGACATCACTGACATCCAGAAGAAACACCCGTGATCAAAGTTGCGATAAGAAACGGGAAACAGGCTAATAGAGACACGTGTATCCGTGCATGTATCCATTCTAAACCACACCCACCCCCTTCAAACCCACCCGCAAGACATTCCAACATACACAGACAGAAACAAGAGTGACAACAACCCCAAATGCCATCCTACAGCAATGAGACATGCCTATGACAAGCTTCCCTGAGCACCTTGGGTTTCAATGTTCACTGAAGCCATTGCAGGAACAGCTGGACAATCCTTGGGTCAAGGCACGCGCGTTCAAGCCGCTGTCTTTCGAGACATGCGAATGACAGCATCGAGAAACAGGACAGCAACGACATCCCCCAGCGGAGGAGGACCAATTGTTTGAAACATACATCTGTCAGTTGATATATCTGTCAGTTTTACTGGTTTGCTTCGTAGTCTCTACAAGACTCTCCATAAAGGACCAAAAAAGGACAGCTAGTAAGACAGCTATTTTTGGAGTCTCCAACAGGAAGGCCCACTCAAATTGAAAAAGACTGCCCCAGGCGTATCGCCTACTACATAGGTGTATAATGCCCAGACGATCCATGGTGGCGTTTCCATATGACCTACATTCACCACCAAAAAAACAGTAGAAACAGTAGGCGCTAGATAGGACTGCACCACCCATAGATCATCTGGGTATGCAATCCCCAGGAGTGCCATGGTGTTATGGATCTGAGTCTTAGAGAAGGGCCTGCAAGCAGGCCTCATCATCATCCACTGGGCCCTGGAAGGTTGGGAAGAAGACCCAACCTGAGTAGGTCAAAAATAATGCCCAGACACGACCTGTTTGGGACCGGAATATATGACCCCTGTAATCAACCACCCCAATGGATAAATATGCCTGTCCGAATGAAGTCCCAGGCCTACTTCTCTGGCTTGGACATTGACCCTAACGAGGCCAGGGAAGGGAACCTCCAAAAGAAATTGTAACCTCAATGCTCATACTCCTTGGTTGGCACACTGAGCTTGTTTGCTATTCTCTTTTAGGCTTGTGACAAGGGTCTACGATATGTTCCACCAGATTGAACAGCCGGAGACAGGAAAAGACAGCTCAGGAAAGCTCAGGGATATACCTCTTTCATGACTCTTCGCTCCAATCTTCGGATTTGAGCCCTTGTGCCTCAACGAGAAATGCTTGGCCGGATCGTAGCGGGTAGTCTTGATATGTATTGATATCTCTACTTATCGTCATGACGACGAGCACTGGTCATTTCTCTGAGCTGCGTGCGATTGCGGGTGAATCTACATGGACTACATGTGTCCAAAGCATTCCGTTCCGCCGGTGGGTGCAAAGGCGTCCACCAAGGTTGCTGGTCGCTTTGACCATGAGGCAGATGGAGAACCAGTTTAGAAGCAACCTTTGGAGATTTGCTCTATGGACACTTCGAGCTTGGTGTCCCGCCATCTATTTGGTGCAAGTTCCACCTTTTTGTTGAGCCTTTGGAGATAGAAGCACTTTCGCCTTGGAATTGGTCGATGTTGTTGTCTTTGCCGCTGCCACTCTTTTTCGCTGCCTCCCTCAAACTTGAGGATAAGAAATTCCCAAAAAGTTTGGCACCTCCCTTAGGCTGGGTCGTAGGTCACGGCGCTTCCCACCCACGGCCAGGCAGCCATCATCTTCACGCTGATGGCATGGGTCTTAGTTCGGGAGGGCGATGCAGCTGCGAAGTGCGAAGGCCAAGAGGCTGAAACCTCCGGGGAGGTGTTTTTTTGGAGGAGAAAGAAGGTGAGTTGCCATAGGAAGGAGGAAGGTGAGAGAGTTTCAGGACATACAAGGAAGCTTGATCTTGTTCTTGATGGTCCGGCTATTGTTGTTCTGGCTGGACGAAGAACTCAGATTGCACCCCATGCTGGGGGGGGCCAACCATCGGGGCTGTAGCGGCCAAGTGCGTGACATAACGTCAATGAAGCCAAGTCACAAAGGCTGATCTTGGAGGAAATGGTTTAATACAACTTGGCCCCACAATATCCCACAATTCTTATATAAATCATATATATATATATTGTTTGTTGCTAGGATCTGCTAGGCATGCCCTGGTTCACTTACCATCTTGGAACATCCAAGGAACCATCATCAGACCCTGAACAATCTAAGGATTTCGGAACAGTTGGGATAGAAAGCCATAGGGAAGCCTTTGGCTGTTCACGGTTTGGGGAAGTCATTTGATGTCATTTGAAACCGAGGACACGGACCACAACGGACGCGCACGGGAAGCCCGGAGGTTCTTGCTGTTCGGACGCGTGGTTCTGGACGGATGGGCCGAGCCGAGCGTTCAATTGTGGAGGGCATTTGGCATGAGAGTTTGGTGGAGCATGATGTTAGCTCGCCAAGGCACGGCCTTGCTGAGGAATTTGCAGCGCTTTTTCTACAACCCCCATCGAAACAGGGCAGTACGTGTATTCTATGAAGCCGCCCAGATATCCGATATCCGTTGTCTTTTGGTATGTGTTTTCAGGTGTTCTGTTGCAACACAAGAACCCGCTCACACACACACATAAGAGACAAGCGGAGACACAAGCTTGGGAGAAAGCTATATCACACAGAAAGACAAGTAGGGAGACACGACGCAGCAGCAACAGGGGCAGTGCCATCAGTGATCAGTGACACTGTCCTATAGCTGTCCATCTTTGGGGAAGAACACCATGATGTCTTGAAAGGGACATGGTGGTGAGCGCAGCTTACACCGAAAAGCGCGACAAAGCAGCTTACAAAACCCATCCAAGCCATCTACCATCTAAAATCTCGTGTGGTTGCGCAGGTCAACCAGGTCCTCCGCCTCAAACAGTGTGTTTTCTCCAGTCACTCTCTTCTCTCGTCTCTCAGGTCCTATCGGTCCAGTCTCAGGGTTTTGCCATGCCACCCAGACCTTTGGACGTTGGCAAAACGTTCCGGAGGCTTTCCGCCAATCCTTCTCAGTTGCTGGCAGCCACCGATCGATGAAGGCGTTGTTGTTGTTGTTGGCAAAAACAGCTGCCCAACATAGTTGTCAATGTTGCAAGTCAGGGATTTCAAAGAGACACTGTTGGGGATAGGGTCGAAGGTTTGGAGAGATGCTAGTAGTTGGACTTCTTGTCGTTGTGGTACGCAAGTCTTGGTTGGTTTGTTTCGTTTTTTAAATGTTTTTTGGAGTGTTGTTCTGGGGGGGGGTGTCAAGAAACGACAACGGGCTGCAGATTTTGTTTCTAATGAGGGGGGGTCCAAAAAAACAACAACGGGGCTGCAGTTTTTGTCTCTAGGATGTGGTAGAGGCTCCGAGAGAAGTTTTGCAGAGGCTTAGCTGACCGGACAACGACGACGACGACTACAACAACAACAACTACTACTACTACTACTATTACTAGGCTACCATTACTAGGCTACTATATACTACTACTGCTGCTGCTACTAATACTACGACTACTACTACTACTGCTACTACTACTACTACTACTACTCCTACGACTACTACAACAACGACTACTACTTGTACTAGTAGCACGAGTACTAGCACTAGTACAAGCAATGCCACTTCTGGTAAAAGTACATGTTGGCTGGTTGTTTTCGGGGGGGGTCGAAAAAACAACGACGGGGCTGCAGATTTTGTTTCCACCCCCTGGTAGAGACAGAGGAACAAGATATGTTGTAACGGGGCTGCAGTTTTCGTTTGTACCTTGCTGCTGTTGTTGTTGCTGTTGCTGTTGTTAACCGAGTGGTTGTTGCCCATTTTGTAGTTTCTTTCCAGGGGATCGGAAACATCTCTTTTGGGATTGTCCTGTGAGGAACCCCAACCGAACGGAACCTTCGGATCTTACTGAAGCCGTGTTGGGCTGGCCGCCTGTTGGCGGCCATTCTGACACTTTGTCCCGCCTGGGGCGGGTACGTAAGGAGATGCTCGATCACCGTTATGGTGGTGCCACCCCGGGGGGCGGGGGGGGGCGGGTATCTAAGGATTTGTGCTGCTGTGCGTGGCGGTGTACCCGCGCTGACTGCTGCCTTGCGTTAGCGCTGTGGTCGTCCGTCATCGTCTACTTTCACCATCGTTTCCCGAGGTCACGATAGATGAGTTCATAGACGGAACGATGAAGCTGAAAGGAAGTGCCAAGAGCGCCTTGGCGGCCAATCCCTGGGCTCCGGTGACGCAGCGTCTCTTGATGTGAGAAGGATGTGCGGCGTTAGCAGAGGGTGGTCCAGCGATGGTAATAGTTGGTCGTAGCTTCATTCCGTCTTTGTTGTTGGTTTCCGAGTTGAACTTGTGTATCTTTGTTTGGTGCCTGAACGCTTCACTTTCAACTTCTTTCAGCTACTCAAGCCAATGCCACAAAAGGTCATTAAGGGATATTAAGGGTTGTTATACACAGTTGAGTTACTTTGACGGACGGGAACCACCTCTAAGAGTAAGGACGATTTTACCACACTGCGTGGACACATCATTTAGTAGGCGTTTTGGAAATCGGCCACGTCATGAATGCACCCACCCAAAAACGTGTCAAGTTGTTCATAAGTTCTGCTGGTCACCTTTTTTTTTTGGAGGGGGGGTGCGGGTTGCGGGTGCCAGACGCCATGGTTGCATTTTCGCACTCATAGTGCATGTTGTGGAACACCCCCCACGTTTTTAGTCGTGTTGATTTTTGCTGCTTCTGTCACGCCACGGGTTTCCCCAAAGCATCCTGAATCCTTCGTTGAACCCGATTTTCGCTTCTCAGACCACCCACGAACGGACGAACGAGCACGGAGCTCCGAGGCGTTGATATGCTTCTCTTAATGTCGCTCAGATGGAACTCCTCGGAGATGTTGAAAGGGACGTCGTCGGATGTCGTCGGGTGTGTGCGGACGATGCACGACTATGTGGGCCCCGACGGTGCGCGGTCTGACAATATCTGACGAAGCACCAGTCTCTACACGCGGAAGACGCTCACAACTCGAACAACAACTGGAAATCCTATAAAAGTTTCTCCGTAGGACGAGACACACTTACTGGGAGATGCTGGGAGTGTGTGCAACTCTACACCGGACGTGGGTGGGAATACTACGTCTCCCTGCTGAAAGCTTTTGGGTGGGATGTTGAGCTGGAAAGGCACCGGACTGGAAAACGCAGTGCGTGTCTGAAAAGAACAATCAGATCGTTATAATGTACAGTCTATGAATTCCCAGTGTAGCAGGCTGCCATCTAGCACAGAGATGAACCATCCAAGCGGTCACTCCCCAAATCAGCCGCCAGAGACGTGATGACTCCGCTTGGAAAAGCCAGCCCACGACTGAGGTTTGATCATGTGAGGTCGCGATGGGAGACCTCCGTCGGTTCGTCGATGGTGGTGGAAGATCTGGATGTCGAGCAATTTGCACGGATGGCCAGTGGTTCCCACGCCAAACGATTCGTGGTTCAACAAGGAATCGTTTGTATCAATGTTCCAATATATTCAGTAGATTTGCTATGAGCATCCCAGAAAACTTCCGTACAGGTACTGTAGTCATGAGCCGTCTGGAGTATGTCTGAATTGGTCAATACCTTGCAAAACCGATAGGGGCCAACCCTACACCGATACCCTTTCTTGATTGAAAGTAGCTTATTGCCTGCATTCCAAAACACTGGAAGCCGATAGGGGCCAACCTAAAGTACTTTTGGCGTTGGGGACGCCAAGAAGTTTTGTCCGCCACTCATATAATATTGCGAGAAAAGCTTCAGAAAAAGCTTTGGGGTTGACGTGCCTTGTTGATGGACTGCTCAACTCTATCCTTGTTGCACAAGCCGTTTGTTGTGGAGTTGTCATTGGCTGAGGTTTATGCCTCACACTGACATATTGCCAAGCACACCATCTCATGTGCAAGAGAACCAGGAACTGCCACACAGAGTGCTTGAGAGAAGCCCCATTTGGATGCGGCACTTCTTCGGATCCCACCGATTCCCCACAGCCCGGTTCCAAGCGCGCCAGGTTTATGGCCAAATTCAATACCCTATGCTGCTATATGGAGGCCCGGATGCTCCGATCGATCGCCTGTTGGGCACCGGCTCCCCCGGCGGCTTCCGTTTTGGGGGGGAGGGTGGTCCGGCCGCCCATCGTGGTTTTGGCTACCACGAGAGTAGTGAGCCATATCGAGACATCCTTATGTTGCAGTGTTGCTGGCTTTCGCATCGAGCCACGAGCCGACGAGTGTCCTGACTTTTGGGGTGGCCCACCAAAAGCCCAGCCCAGCGACCCACTGAACCCTCTTAATTCGGGGTGGCCTTGTTCTTTCAAAACCCGCCGTCGTTGGGCACCCCGGGTCGTTGAGGGCGCCGCCGTCAGGACGAAATGAGATCCATCAAGTCAGTGATCCTCCCAGGAGCTCCGTCGGGTCGGCGGGTGCCGGTCATGCCGTCGAATGGTCCGGGTCGCTCGACCTGGGAAGGCTCGACCTGGGGGGTGTCGCTGGTGGAGATGGTCCTATCACGAATAGAACGTCTAAGATGAAACCCGTGATGGTTGCCATGAGTGGCAGTAATTAAGAGCCCATGCAGCATTTTAGACCTCACGTAGTCAAATCCATCATGGACAGTCTCGAGTCACCACATCGGTGGATAGACCCTAGGCATCCCTAGGCCATGCGTCAGCTACGCATGCGTAGTCGTACGCGTTTGCGTTCGGCCTGGCGTCCACCTGCACGCGTCCGCTGTGACCATCACGGAGCCAAGAAGTTCTTTCCCATCTCTCGATGTTCACCGGAGAATTGCAGAGGAAACCTGCAGAGGTTTGGATTGACTTCTGTTCTGAAGGGGGAGGATGCTTGGGTCCTTGAGGTGTTCCCAGCTGCCTTTTGACCGTCTCATGATTATGGGATCCAGTGAATTTAGAGGGAGTCGCCTACTTCGCTTTACTCCAAACCACCGTGAGTGACGGAATGATGCCCATGAACCGCCGCTTTCCGGCGCAGGAGAACAGCCTCCCAAGATCTTTGAGCCGACCCAAGATCAGCACGCCGGCCTCCGAGACCAGCGACGGGAGACGTTTCAGAGGCGACAGCAGAGGCGACAGTTCAGCACCGGCAGGTGGTGGATCGAAGAAGTGTTGAAACACATGACATCGATTCGCTGCAAGGGTCTGGCCACTTCCCATGTGGACATATGTCTACCCTGGGAGTCAAAGTAGACTATAAAAAGAATCGTCTTTAGGGGAACTGAGTTCGGGAACTGACTTCAGCCGGTCAAAATATAGTCGAACTGGACTTCTAGGGTCTATATAGTCTAGTAAGTCAAAAAAAACGGTTGGCCTCCAAAGAGTAGAAGACTCCACTGGGCGAAGATTCTGGAGGAGGACACATGGTGTCACTATAATAGTATTAATAGTCACACATGGTGTGACTCACCATGTGACTCCTTTGGTCTGTTCGACCCACCAAAGATCCCATGGAACAAAGCAACAAACATATAGCTCTAAGACGCTATTGGTTCGAACCCACAAGACGCTATTTTTGTGGGCCCTTTGGAGTTTCGAACGTCTGACGGGGAAGAAAACAGAGGAAAACAGACAGACCGTGTCTCCTTGAAGTTGTCAACTTCTGTGCCTCGGGATTTGCTTCCTGGCAAACCTGCAACTGTACATTCACAACAACGTATTGTTTGACAACGACTCGTTGACCACCTTGTTGCATACCTCGATTGTTGATAAATCTTGGACTCAATGGGACTGGAAATATATGCCGACCAATGGCCCGTGTAATCAACCACCCCAATGGGGCGGCAAATATGGCAGTCCCAAACAGATCGTGTCTTGCCCAAACACTTCAGACTGTCATTTACCGCCCAATTGGGGTGGTTGATTACAGGGGCCATTGGTGGGGCGGCGTGCCCGACATCGAGACATCGCCTAAGGCTGATCCGCCTAAGGCGGAAGGCTGAGGTGAACGCCGATGTGGACGCTGTTGGGAAGATGAAAACATCAAGCATCAAGCAAGAGTGAACTGATGTTTGTTTCATTTGGTCATACTTAGTCTATTGTGGTCTATTGTTTTAGAACTTGGTATGCATGGAAGTGTGATTAGTTTGAGGAATATAGTTCCAATGCCTCACAATTTCCGACATATAAGTATGTTTTCAAGTTGGCTTTGAGGGTTAATCAAGTGCATGCGTATTCAGGAAGTCATTCTAACTTCAGCAGGAGGGATCTTCTTTTGTGATGTGTGTGAAGTTTGGGCAAAAAAACGGACACCATTGACACTGAAATCTACCGAGGTGACTTGCAGCCTGTTTGTGCTTGCAAGTCTCATTTAGAGGGCTAGTGGTTTAGACCTGAGAGAGCGGGTTGGCGTAAATAATGCTTCTACAAGGGTTGACTCATTGTGTACACTGATCCTTTTTTTTCTTTCAATGTTCTGTTTTTGTCTACATTTGCGTACACTGGTTTTCCGAAGGATGTTCCGTCAGTCTTGGGGGTACCAGCATTCAATCGATGAGAAAGGGCAGGCTCCAGTAGAAGAGATTGTTTGGTGCCAGCCCCATGACGGTCAGCAAGGAATAAAGAAATTACACATCATTAACTATAATCCAGCGGTCACAAAGGGGTGATTTTTAGTCCCTAGTCATTTAATATTATATAAGTCAATTTGTTGGCAGGTTTTTTTGCCCCTCTCACGAACAAGTTGGCCACGCCAACTTCTTACGCTCACGTTGATCGTCCTAGCCGCGGATTCTTGCCACATCTAATACTTTGTCTAGAGATATGTCCCAGACACTCCATGTACACTATATTTGCCTATGTAGGGATGGCTCGGGGGGGTCGATTGGTCGGCATATCCGCGGGGTGTTTGGGTATAGATATTGCAACGGTTCATTCTCAATATGTGAGCAAACATGAGCAAAAACGTGGCGCATGAGCCCAAACTCTTAAGACCACTTGAAGTTCAAGTTTTGTCAAGCACCTAACGCCAGCTGCCAGCTTATGCAAAGCTGTTTTCACCAGGCCAGGCTGCTTTTTCAACCTCGACTCCCTCTTTTGAGTCGAGCCGAACGCGGTGTTTCACCTTGGCCGAACGTCCACCGTGGAGCGCCGAACGTCCGTGCCGTCGTGAGACCGTGAAGAGCTGACGCGGCGCGGAAAAAGAGGCGGCGGCTCTCGGGCAGCTCGGTGGTGTTGGAACGTTGGCAAGCGGCGTGCCCATTCAGCAAGTCTTCTGCCAATTCCCGGCGAAAGAGAGTTTGCAACATTTCGCAGGACGGGCTGTTGCCCGTTCATCTCGACTCGAGAAAAAAAAAGCCACGTCGACTCGGCTCAAGGGCTGCACAGGGTGAGCCTGTCATGGTGATCGGCATTGATGGTGGCTTCTTTCTTCCGACCAAATGCAGATCAATTCACAGCTTCGAAGATGCTTCGAAGATGCGAAGATGCTTCCATTGCACGCACGTTCCATGGTTTTCTTGGGTACCCCATCGGTTGTCCGGACCAAAAGGCCGTGATGAAACCATTCCTCGACCGTTCCTTCCAAAGAAAGGCGACCGGTGCAGACCTGAAGGTTGGCGTTTTTGGTCGGATATTAACACCTATATTTACAAAGAACACAAGCAAAAGTCTAAGAAAACCATAGAAAACCCGACTTGGTGGAATCTCTGGACACTTGGGGGGGGTCCCAATAGCTTTTTTCCTACCTGGCCTCTCCAAGCAAGTCCGAGCACGCCAATACTCGGCAGAGGTGCACGGGGGTGGTGGGATGGGGAGCGGAGATGCTATGGAGATGCAGAGCCGATGAAGATGGAGTTCTGATCCAACTTGGATCAACTTGGTCTAAGAGTAATTAGTTATGGAGCGAAAGTCACCACATCCCCCAGCAATTGTCGTGTCGTCTTTCTCTTCCACCGCCGGGGGAGGAAGAGGTTCTTGCGCCAATGGGTCGGTCAAGAGTCAAGGGGTCATTTAGATATCTATAGACTATAGAACATGTATTTCATTTGGAGCTCTAGGAATAGTGAAGCCATTTTGTTTTGCAGCCAAGACAAACAGGAGGTGAGGAGGTGCAGTGGTCGACTTTTAGTGTTCGTTCATGTGGTATTGACATTTTAGCTTCTGCCTCATTATAGGTTCATCCTTTGAACCCAAAGATTTGCAGACTCTCTCTCGTTCTCAGCATTGAAGACGTGTGATATGTGACGTTCGGCTGTTTTATTCTTCGGCCAAGTCGTTGGCAAGTCCATCTGACTCTGCAAGTTGGGCCCTCACACTCCGGGGCCCATCGCAGAAGAAGCTCGCAGGCTTCTCTTCCGTCATGGAGGTGTTGTTTCTCTACTTCTGCGGAGTGCCTACTCTTAATATAGACTCTTGATTAATGAACCACCCATATGAAGAGTTGTGCCTACTCTTAATGTATGTGACTACTCTTAATCAATCCAAGTCGGGGCGGGTTATTAATCAAGAGTCGACGATGATTTGAGCTGACCGGGGCTTTTGAGCGATCGCAACGAGCGAGCGATCGCCGGGGGGGGGTTGCATGCATTTCTGACCAGCCTACCCATGTGGATACATGACATGCCTTTTAACATAAATAAAGAACACAATGCATGGGCCTGGGTTGTTGCACATCAACCTTTCAACAAGCCTTCTTTGTTCCCATGGCCTATCTTTGTTTAACCCAAATATTGATAAAACCTTTTTGGCAGAAAGGGGGGGATTCCCCAACTCCAACACATTAAAGCACCTAAACAGCATTAAACAACTGGAACCCGTTCACGTTCACGGATACATCACCTGCTCAGGTCATGCTGGGCTGCATCGTGGTGATGATGGTGGAGACCAGCTGCTCCGAGCTCAAGGGAGATCACTAGACGGGGAGACGCATGGTGAACACATGCGAATGGACCGGAACGAACCATGTGTTTCTCCACCATCAGCATGGACGGGAGTGGACGGGTGGTACCATGTTTTGGACAAAACAACATCTGATTGGCAACAATAGCACACGGGCACACGGGCACTCTTCACACGCTTCACACGGGCTGTCGCTACGGATCTCAAGAATCCAAAAGTGGATTGCTCCAGATGTTAAACGAATCCTTGATAGATTGCTGAAGGCATACTGTGGTGCATACTTGGCTGTTGTAAATGCATGGGTTTCCTTCAGTCCCATTCTATTTTGTCCCGAGAGGATGTAAACATTTCACGACTTTCTTCGTGTCGACTCCCACGACGACGGAGCGACACCGAACTCCTCCAGGTGACGCGTGCAACCAGGAGGTCTGTGACCAGCACCCGGACAGCTACGCGTCGGGGGCACCGAGCGGGGGTTCCTTCTTGACGTCGCGGGGCGGGGGTGTTGTGAGGTGGCCGCTTGGATCCCCAAGCTGCTTTGCAAGATGAAGGTATTTGCGATGTCACCAAGGAGTACGTGGGCCCACATATGAGTCAGCAAGCTGTTCAATCCACACTGGTGGTATATGATAGTTTGATCAGTAATTTGATCTCAAGCCAGGTAGATGAGGTAGTTGTCATAGAATTGAGAGATCCTGTATTGTTTTGAGTCTTGTTGTAGTGACTCGCTGGTACCAAAAACATCTCAGAGTTTTATGCAGTGCATAATCAGAAATACATTGAACAACTTCTGATAGAAACTCCAGCTGGCGGCATTCAGCTATAATGTCGGACAACAAAAGGGTGGATCAGAGTTCCGAATCGGCGGATAGACCTTTGTTAAGCTTTGCGGCATTTTTCAACTTTGCAAAAAGCGATGTCGGATATACAATTGTAAACTGAAACGATTTTTGAAGTTGGAACACCAAGTTTTTGCAGTACCCCTGTTTCGTTAACCAACTTTGTGTTTCAGGATCACTTCCCTTTCGATGTCTGTAGAGCCTTGCAGGGAGGTTTCAGCTCCAGAACTTGTCAAACTGCCACGTTGGCAGGTCTAAGACAGGTCTTAAAGCATTTGAATGGGCACTGGCACCCAACGATGTCTTGAAAAGACGGGGTCCATATA